TTCGCAATGTACTCCTCTTCACTAGTCGCTACAGTAGCAATCTCATAATCGCGACCGACCGCTCTTGCTAAGCTAGCAGTAACCCTTTGTGAATGGCATGCATCTTCAGTGCCAGTGTCACTACTGGCACTCCCATAAACATAGCGTCAGCACTTGTAGTAGTCCCAGCGTAAGGCCATGGGTCCAGGCAAACGTCAATTTCACCGTACATGCCCAAATGAGTTGAAGTCGATGGCGTCATCCCTAACAAGTCCAGCCGAGTCGAGGGAACACCCTCCTCTGCGAACAGCCGGTTGAGCCTCTCCACAGCAACTGTCGAAGCGAGGGCTTTCGATTTCAGCATCAACCGCGAGTTTGGAACCTCTCGCAGTATTTGAGCCCAGACCCGTACAGTGTCGTCAGACAGTTTGGCTAAAGTGTTGAAGCTGCCGAAGGTGGCAGTTCCACCAGTGCGTCGTTGAGGGGCTTCCAACACACACTCGGGGACATTTTCAGGAGGGGAATAACACAGAAAACAGTGAGGTAAGCGGACTAGCTGTTCACTATAACCGTTGCCCGAAGACTCTATAGGATCAGTAACCTCATCAACCAATCGAAAGTCCATATTGGGCAGGCCAGTCGTATTAGGATAACCAATGTAAGTAACAGTACACGGCGCTGGCTTCACTGCGAAGACCAAAAGGCGGTTGTTACCAGAGTGTCCAGCGAGGTCGACCAAAACGTCAATATGATCCTCCCAAATCTGCCGAGCCAATTGACGATCGTCCATATCGTGCACGTCCACCCATTTCCATTCAGAGTGCCTTTCTATATATCCCCGCAGTCTCCGAGTCACCGCATCATTCACTGCCGAGTCGTGATAAGCATAGACCTCCACCTTAGCTGGGTCATGGCATCGGAAAAGACCATCCACGAAATAACTCACAGAATGGCCTCGCAAGTCAGGCGACACGTAGCCGATTCTAATCTTGCCTGAGCCTGCGGGATTCTTTCGACTAACGTCCGCGCTGAAAATGGTCTTCCTGTCAACTTCCTCAGCGACCCTAGCCACAACAGACTCCCCCCACTTGCGATGCTCCTTGGCCACCCACAAGCCGCCATCCCTCTGAGGGAGATAGTTGAGGCTCATGAGTCTACTGTGTGAGGCATGACGGTGATCCGGCTCAGCTTTCAAGCAGTCCTCAAAGGAAGCAATGGCCGATCGTGTTAGTCCAATATCACGTAAAAAGATACCAGCAGTATTAAACGCCTCCGCTTCGCCAGATATTTTGCACAAGTTCACTGCTTTTTCAAGATCTCGGCCAGCTACCCCATATATAGCCCCCAGTCTATGAAGGTATTCTTTATTAGACGGGTCGAGGTCAACCGCTTTCTCCATAGCCGTTTTGCAGTCAGCCCAGTCGTCAAGAAGTCGGTAACACTCCGCTTTAGCTGCCCACAGAGCTCCCTTAACTCTGCTATTAACATTCCCATCCACCAGAGCAATCGCCGTACCAAGAGTCGGCAATTCCTTAGCGAATTCGCCCTGTCGATGCAACATAGAAGCTTTCACT